TATAATTAAAGTAATTTATAAATTACCGGTATTTACGTTTACAATTATAAACAAATTGTCGATAAAATTATGATGTCGTTCTAACCGCATTTCCGGTAATAAGCTCTAAATACTTATGTACACGCACTATTTGCGGACGCTAAACACTGTAAGTACACTTATTTACAACACCCGATGGCAAGAGGATCATTTCTGGCATACATGATTATGCCAAAAAAAGAAAAAAAAATATATATATATGTAAAAAAATATATATATTTCTTTTTCTCAAATAACTCGATTCTAGTTCGCGTTAAACTGGATAAATTTTTTTTGTTTTTTTTGTTTTTTTTTTTTCTTTCTCTTTTCCTTTTTTTTTACGATGGAGTATACACACAGAGGTCCTCGAAAATATGTGAACTATCTTCTTTTAATGCGTTTGTATCACTGCCCTTCCTCCTTTTGCGCTTCCTCTTCTAGCCAATCGTGAAGAATATTCCTTCTTCTCTGAAAACACGAGATCAAAAAAAAAAAAAAAATTCTAATATAAATATTTGCAAAGATGTTTCTTTAAAGCTTAAAGCGAAACAAGTAATGAAGATTTGTGTACATTCAAAGATGAAGAGAGAAAAAAAAAAAAGAACATGATCGCTTTGAGATATAAAAGTAAAGTAAAAGTACGTCGTATGCTTTTGAATTTGAAACGATTCCATTTTCGTCGTTTATGCATTTCGTCGTTAATGTTTAATTAATTGGCAAACGAGAAATGTGTGTAAGCGGACAATTTTGCAAATATATAGTAGGCAGCCAGGAAATATTATTGTTGATATTATAATTTGCTTGTTTTAGCTTTGTTATTATTAATTCTTTTTTTTAAATCTAAACTATTAATCCTTCTTACTTTTTAAATAGCAAAAGCAAAGCGAGCTTAAATTTTTTAGGCGGTGTCTTTCACGCGGTATACTATTGCGACAATAGGTACAACAATTGGGATGATACAGCAATGAAACCGGAATAGGAATAAGTTTGCAAGATTAATTTTATCGAAATCGTATTTCTTCTTCTGTTATTTAGGAGCATGGTGTATATAAGCTGACTTGTACATGCACACAACAGTTAGTATAACTACGGGACTTGCAATTACCAGGACCACGTTAGTTTGGGAGAGCAAGGTGAGACGAGTGATGAGGGCGATGGCTGTGGTGGTATTGGTGGTTGTAGTGGTGATGGTAGTGGTAGTAGTGGTGGTAGTTGTTGGTAGTGATTAGGGCAGCGCACAACGAGCAATTATTGCTCGGCTAGATTTCCATTCGGATCCGTATACTCCTCGTATTCCTCTTCCGGCTCCTCGTAATCCGTTTCTGCAGGTTCAGGACCTTCGACAGCTGGTATCGAGGTGCTAGTGATGTCCTGCTAAGCATACACGAGAATCCAAGCGTTTCTACCTACTTAGTTTTATTTTTGGTTTTTCTTTTTATTATTTACACCACTCCCCTTTTCACCAATCATGTTCACCAAGCTTATTAGACATTTTTATCTCTTGTTACTTACTTAACTTACATTTGTTAGTTCTCCAAAAAAAGCAAAGGTTGACGTTGATGATTAAATTAACCCTGCCACTGTACTTTTTGGATTATCTAATGTGTAGAAATTTTTATATTTTTTATTTGCCACGTACACCAAGATTTTTTATTTCCAATTTAATTTGAATATTTCAAACTGACTTTATCATAAATCTTTCTATTCATAGAAACGTATAGAAAATTGTGCATCAATTCAGGGTTAAATTAATCGAAAAATAATCATGCCAAGTATTCCAAAATAAAAATTAAACTTTCATATTTATTTAATCTGTATATGTATATACACATATATCTGGAAAAATCCCCGATTTTCCAATTATTTCTAAAAAAAAAAAAAAAAAAAAAAA